TTCTGTTACAGAAATAAATATTATTATTAAGATCATTATCACTAACATTCACTTAACCGTCGTCTATCTGGTCGACCTCATCATTTGTAAACTCTTTAATAACAGCAGTATATGATTTGAGTTCTTCCTCACAAATCCCTAAAGGTTTTATACCTTTACTCTGACTAGTAATACCTTGTAAACTTGTGGAGTCAGAACTAGACTCGGAAACTGTACTTCTTCTTCTGCACAAACTGCGGTGTCATCTGTGACACTATACAACAATGGGTCACCAGTTGCAACTACAGGCTTCTTCACTGTACCATTATCGTCACACTATTGGGGGTCAGACCTTGATGACGCTGATTTCACATTTAGCTCATCACTAAACTTGCTCACTGGTTCACAGTTCACCATTGTATACACTTCTTGCAAACGTGTAAAACACAACCGTGTTTGTCTCGCAACTTGTAAGCTATCTATTGGGGACGTCCTACGAAAGCTGTCATACTCATTTGGTTTATATGGATCACTAGACACCGCAGAGCCTTCTCGATATCCACCTCTCTGAGACCTTTCCGTCATAAATGATTGTGTTTTGCTCTAAGACTGCTCTATTCTAGGGGTGGGGTGCAATAGGCTGGCAAACTTGCTCATAGATAGATTGACACTATCTTTTACCAGTTTCAGAATATCATCAAACTTTGGCTAAATACCTCCATACGGGAGCTTATCTTCACCCACTTCCTTTGCAGTCGAGTAGGTAGGCGTCTCGCTATTACCTCTAGGACGCAACTTGAGTTCAGACCATTCATGCAATTCATCGAAATCATTGTATACTTGTAAGTCATCAGATTATCCGAAAATTCAGAGAGTGCCTTGAAGTCATCTTGTAATTGACCACCATTACCTTTAACAGCCTCCTTACAATCATCGAAGGTCTTCCGAATCTTTGACGCAGCATACTCATAGCCTCAGGGTATCCTTCGTCAGGGGGCATGAACGTACACCACTGGATAGCCCTTGAAGCAACTCCAGTGCAGTACCTCATCAAATACATCAACCTCATTTCATCGTTTAATAAAATACTACTTAACATGATTTCAAACTCTCTTACAAACTGTAAATAGTCAGCTGGGTTTCCGTCGAAACACCGAGGTTCATACTTGGAGAGTTTGATAATCCTACCATCCCTAGACGGCGAAACAGTAGCATCAAACATGTCATGTTTAACATCAGACACATCGTTACAATTAACAGACAAGTCACCATGACTTACTTTCCTGTTTGCTTCCAAGACGCTCTGTCCCTTCTTTGACCCAGGCATCATTGAACGTAACCAAAATTCCAGAAAGTTTCAGATAATACTTGTCCAAAGAAGACTTGCAGGCACCAAGAAAGACGAACGAAAAATTTCAGAAACTATCAGACAACTTTCATAAGCTGTCAATGTCCATCTCTTCCTATGCTGGACCTCATGCTGTCCCTCGAAGACTTTCAGAAACACTTTGTATTCACCAACGCGAAAAAGAGAACGCTGATTGGCGATTCGAAAAATCTTCATTCTTACGCCAACATACAACCAACAATAAGGTAATTATACAAGATCTAAGAATAAATGTTATAATAATAAATCACTATAATACTTCCGATATTTTTTATCTTCCTCTGAACAGCGAACGATGAGACGATGACCGTCGGATTGATGACTCCCGCGAAGAATATGGAGGAGTTGGGTTTGACCAAGCAACCATGAATTGATCGTTCAATCTTCAACTTCACTGACAGTCGCATGTCTGTTTTTCTCCCATTGAATCATAAGGTGAAATGCTTTTATTAAGCAGACACTATCACTTTCACCGCCAGTGGTATACCAGTGTTATTGCATATTTCTCTATGAGCAAACGTTGGATGAAAAGCATCTCAGAGTAAGTGCAACAGGCACTGAACCGTCTAGATCCTGGCTCCTCCCTCTAAAAGTTGGCATGCACTGCAACCCGGGCATTGGAGAGGAAACGAAACACAGAAGGCCAAGCAAACCATGTGAGCATGAGGAACCACACAATAGTCTAAGAAATAGTGGCTAGCGTCAGATCACTAACGAAACAACTGGCGCAAATACATCTAACGCAGGGCAGATAAGGTAGATCGCTTTATAGAACACGTTCCCGGTCAAAGAGTAGGCCTAGACAAACCACCTCAACAGGCCAATTCTGTTAGTATCATTGACAGTTTGGCTCACAATCAGGGGGATGCACACAACGTGGCTTAAATTACCACACAAGCAATGGGGGAAACATCAAACCCTCCCCACGCAGTGACTTCTGAGAAGGAGTGTCCGGAAAATCGCCAATCCTACGCAAAAGTTGAAATTCTGGTATAGACTTCCTGGTTGATACCAGAGTTTCACTCAGTATCATTCAGAAAAGAAAGGCCAACCTGCATCGGTAAAAGTTACGCTTCACACTGCAGGTGGTCAGTAAGACCCAAATAACAATATTCGGGTAGAAAACGCTGAAGCTTGGCCCAGGGCTCAAGCAACAGCTTCCGTGGATTTTTCCTGCCGCTAGCCAAGACCTAGCAGTCCTGGGAAGTTATGGATGGCCACTTGGAAAAGACGTCTCACAATGAAAGAAACCTGCTATACCAAGAAGGTTATCCCCTGACAAACTTAAAATAAAGAAAGCTGAGTTTGACTGCATGCTTTAGTTGTGGATAATTCTTCCCTCGAATAATCAGTGAGCTTCGCCGTCACACAAGGCCCCTTAGAAAATTCGGACTAGTTGGAGCACTTACGGTGATTACACGGTCTCAGATAATCAAACTGTTCCAGAGAGATACTCGTTACCACACACTTGAGTAGTGTTACGCAAACTGGAATACAATGGCATGAAAATCAGTCAGCGAAAATGCGTTTTTGAAGCAGAAGCAATAGAGTTCCCAAGACATTTAAGTGAGATCTGTGGGATTCCACAAATGCCCAAAGAGATTGCTAACTTCAAACAGTATCCCCTGCCCACTGCCCTCACTCAACACCAAAGTTTCCCAGAGTTGCTAAACTTTTATTGATGCTTCGTACCTAATTGCATACAACACGTGCAGCACCTGAATGATGCATGAAGGGAGAAACCAGAAGACTTCCAGTTGTCAAAAGAGGCATTCGACGGAACTTCACTGGTGAAAACCACGACCCTGAAGTGTCCTAATCTAGGTGCTCCTCTTAGATTACTGGTAGATGTAAGCTGTACCGCCGGTGGAGCAACTCTAAACCAGCCAGTTGAAAATATCTGGGAACCCACAGCATTCTTCTCTAAACGGCTGAATCCCACAGAAACGAGGTATTTTACTTATGACGGAGAGTTGCTGGCAATCTTCCTAGCAGTTAAATATTTTCGCCACATGGTAGAGGCCGATTGAACACACATTCTTAGGGAAGTTGTTTCTTGGGGGAGGCCGATGTGGGGCCTCTACAACACGGTGGGTTAATGCTACTCAGACTTAGTGAGTGATTGAGGGATTCAGAAAGATATGATGAGCAACCCAGTAGGAACTGTATCTTCTTTTAGATTTGTAAAGCTTTCTTTGTCGATTGAATGATAAATGGCCTTCCGTTTGTTTGACTAGGTATTCCTCGCTTCGCTTGCCCTCCGCTGTGCTTTGGGAGATGAAAATTCTTAAACACTGTTGGTCTTCTATGATACTGCGAGTTGTTGGTCGGCAATTAGAAGAACAGCCTGGATAGAAAAGTCAGTTTCTAAGTTGGAGCCTTCGTTCCCAGGAGGTTTTGTACTATTTGAACATCGTTATTACTTTCCACACGTTGCAACAATTTCTGCACAGGCAGTGTGCAAGGGGGTTTCTGACTTTTTACATTTCAGGGAATTCAGGTACCCACAATGATCATGGAGGTTTGGCAGCCGACTCTTTTGATGAAATAATCATCCATACTATCAATCGACAACTCGTATCGTTGCACGAAGCAACCTTAACGTTCTGAAGGCTTATTTTTGACAAATAAAAAGAGACTCACAACTCAAGGGAGTAAATATAGTTCCTACCGGGTTATCAGCTAAGCCTAAATTCTTGAATGACTTACTCTGTCTGAATAACGTCATCTGTTGTAGAGATGTCACAAGAGAGACTTACTTATAATTTTAATGGTACTTACCCCATTTCGGACAGTATTTCTTGTCTCGCGACATAACGGGATTAACAGAGACGCGATAAATGGGTCTTCCGTAGCAGTTATCCACAACGGCGATTTATTAAGGCAACATTTTAGACCAGGGTCATTAAAAAAGCTACAAAAAGACATGGTTTGACCGAAAAATAACCAGAATACCCAGAGTGCAAAAAAGTGTTTCGTCATGAGATAACCTGGAAAATCGGCAAATGTCTAGACTTTATCTGGAATAATTTGTGTTAAATTTGTCTGCTTTTATTATATATATATTATTCATATTATTCTTCAGATTTAATCAGCTGACTGTTGTTACGTTTTCTTATTTCTTTTTCTGCCTGTTAGTCTGAATAACTTCACTATTTATGTCTATTATTATTATTATCTCTTTTCTCTTGTCGACGATACCGGAGGACTAACTGGCAAAAGGATCAGCACCATTCACAGTAGTAACAGTCTTAACACACCTCAAACTACAAACCACATATAATTAATCCCAGCATCATTCCCTCTGGAGTCAACCAAAGCTACGATAGTTGAGTGGCGGGACGAGCTATGCAGAAGTTTACCGAAGATCAGGAACCTGTATCTTACAATCAAGAAGCGGGCACAGAGAAATGAAATTGGTTTATACTAGCTCGTAAAAACGATATTGGATTGGATACTGGAACACAACAGGAGTTATAATTAAACAAGGGTTTGTCAGAATTCTGTCCACTTTCTAACGTCGCGCTCTAAAGGTTGCTAAAAGATGGAGCAAGAAGCCATAGGAAAGCGTTTTATCAACAAAATTTAGTAAAAATAAAATATAACTAGGCTTTGAAGAGCGAATTCTGAATATTGGAACAATTGAAATTGAATGCGTGTTTGTTTGGACTGCTTTCAGTTTTAAGCGTGAAAAACCGTTCATTGTTTCCGTCCTATGACGATAAGGTTAGTTGCGTATATTTTTTGTGTGTCTATAATTGTGTATTGATTGAAGTTATCCCTAAACGTTTTGCTTGTGTTTAAGTACTCACCGATTCTTGAAGTAATCGTCAGTATTTCTTAGTCTTTACTGCTTGTCGTGTTATAATCATAGTTTCACTAACTATAATTCAGCAAAATCCCTGACTCCGCTTCCTTTGCCATATGTGCATCTTATTCTTGCCAGAATTTACGGCTTCTTTATGCCTTTAAGTTCAGTTTATAAAAGTGAGGGACTCCAGATACACAAAATACTGGAAATACATCTGACTTCTCGTGTAGTTTGAACTAGGGTTTGAGACTGAATATCGGGAACTCATGATGCCAACCTTTTACCACTATGTTTATCATGAATATGCCTTTGTAGTGTACTTCAAACTCATGGTTATTATTACTGCTTTTGAAAACATTTGGTTAGTCACTGCTTTGAATTTGTATCCTTTATTCCTTGAGAGGCCTGATGAAATACTACATGTTGTAACTTAAAACTCAAACCAGTATGTGACATTAGATTGCTTTCTGAGCGTAATTGTAAATGGATAAGGGCCACTGTTTGACTGAAAACTAGGTAGAGTTTGCTACAGTGTACGCTCAGGTCGGTTAATCCTGTAGATGGGTGAGTATGAGTTCCTCTGAATGCAGGTTAAAATTTTTTTGAGATAACTAATTGTGAGTGATTTATGAAATCAAAATCACAGGTGTCAAGAAAGTTACTAGTTGTGTGGACCTGAGTTTCCCACCACTGGGACATGAGCTGCAAGTATTGTGTGTAAGCGATGGTGTTACTAACCAGCACGGATTATGTGGAGCAAGTTTCGAATCTAGAACCCACCTGAGTTGAGTGCTTAGACCGTCAAGCCACATCTCCACACCGCCATAGTAAACATATTTATTCCTAGTTGTGTTGTTTATCATCTGATAGTAACTGTCCGGGAGGATTTTCTTCAGACGACCTGTGTTGTTAGGTGTAACTCAAGTTATTTACCGGCTATGCACCCTGAAAATGAGAATGTTTTCGTATGCTAAGGGTCGATATAAACGTTAACAAGTTACAAATCCATACTGCTTTGAGATCATTTAAAACAGCTGTAGAAGAAAGCAAACTTCCCTTACTAACTCTTCTTAGTGCCGGACAAGGTTGGCGAACAAATACACTTTCATTAATTTTCAAAGCAAATTAAAGACGCTTAAACGGTATCATACTAATAAGTTTCGACGAAGGGTCTTGAATTCATTGGCCCATACTTCAGTATGAATACAGACTACTATCTTAACCGCGGCTTTCACAGTGGGACCGCAACTCATTAGTCTAGGCACTCAACTTCCATCCACTGGGTTACTATTCCAAACCCCTCCACCTACCGAGGTCTGCGCATCCAGGTAGCATCACTAGCCCTCACACAATGTGTGGCTCATTGTCAGCTACATAAAATCGTAAGTGGTTGAGTGACCACTTTTACAATAAACTGAATATGACTCCAGGCTTCGACAGAAAAAATGTAGCCGATTAGATTGAGCTTTCGGCTTTCACTGAATGGATTCCGAGTCGAAGTCTCGGTAGTATCATTAACCTCCGAACAATAAGTGTGACTTATGGCTTGATACATGAAGAATTTGCTCCCGGCAACTGAGTTCTGACTGGCTAATCAACTCTATCAGAATGCGATTGACCTGTCTCCAAACAGGTCCCTTTCTCTGCCTGTACACAGACGTGATGTTTCAGTTAATATCCTATCTCAAACTTTTCTACACAAAAAACTAATTAATAAGTGATCATAGACACTGAAGGAGAGGGAGGGCATTCAACGTTTAGATAATGTATGTCTCCGCGTCACTAGTACAGATTTTAAGCCAACCAGAAATATCAGTTGTTACACGGAATCCCGAAGGAATGCTACAAGGTTCATATCATTTCGCGGAAGGATCTATTAATGTTCACGTGTGCGTCGGTGGCACAGCGATTAGGACGCTCGCCGACCATGCACATAGTCCGGGATCGATCCCCGGCCGATGTACACCTGATATCAATGGTCGGCCTGCTAAATTTGGGCTAACGATATCACATGCTAAGAATTCCGTAGTTGTACCGAAATATACTGTGTGGAATCAAGCTATGATTAAAAAATGTTTCTATTTAGTCGTTCTTTGCTACTTTATTAATATTAGGCGTGGTGACTTCGTTATCATTGCAGACATTCTTAATACTCATATCGTTTGACTCGCTAACAGCACTTGGCTCCTCACGCCCAACTTCATTGTTACTATTGTTCTGCTGGCGAAACGTATCTTCTGACACAGATTTCGGGTGATCAGCTAGACGTTTGTTAGAACGCAGTTATTTTGCATGTGCCTGACTAAGTGACACGTATGGGGGCTTGTGTTACTACCCATTTACCCCAGTTAGAATTAATAAAGCAGTAGTCCAACTCGAGATCCGACTGAATGTCAAGTGTTTAAGTAAATAAGACACATCACAGCATTCACTAATAAAATTAATTAATCCATCGTACTACTGTCTCGCTTGAAACGTGGCATCTAAAATACGTATACATATTCCTAAAGTATGGAAAGTATTATCAACACAAAAACAAAGTTGAGTTTTTAACTACCATCCCTGAAACAGACCACTTTGATAATAAAAGCAGTTCCCTTTTATTTTCGCAACAGATATATGGAATAATTTGCAACCTACTGGACTATCCCGAACATAAACAGCTTTGATTATTAATCGATTCTGCTTATAGTAATCAAAAATCTTCCCCCCCCCCGCCTACAAATTGTAATAACTTCAAAAAATTTACTTCTGAGAATTCAATCATCAGATATCTTATTATTTCCAGGTTATCCTCCGACATTTTGAGGTCTTTGAAGTTGAATGTATAATTCCCGTTCTGACTTGTATTTCATGAAAATACTGGTCTAAGTCGGGAAGCATGACGTCGTTTACTCGTCACAGAATGCATTTAATGATAAACCTCGAATGTTGTAATTGATCAAGTAATCTGAAGTTGTCAACATAATCCTTAGAATAGAAGCCCTTTGAGTAGTTATTGCATTATGAAGTTTGTCTAGATTTAAAGTGTTTTCAACTCGATGAGATGCAATTTATCACTGAGTTGTTCACCCCTTGGTAGGTTGAATGTGCGTCCAAACTCATTAATTAAGTGTAAATTGACTCTGTAGACCAATACACTACTTCTACCCAGTAGTCTACTGCTTTTTACAATACACTAGAGATTATGCCAAGTTTCATCAGATATGGACATTAAGATCGAGAGCTTTTTTTGCATTATTGTTCAACATTCCAGTTTGCCAGTTTCTATTCTTGATGACATGGTGTTGGTGTTTTTTGATACACGAATTGTATAGTAAATTCTTTTAGAAGCATTCTCCAAAGTGGTTTTTGCAGTTGTAGTCTTTTTGTATCCCATAAAATGAAAACACCTAACGAAGTTGTAGCAAAAAGCTTTCAAGCCTATTTCCCGTATCTAATTTCCGAAATTAAAGGCTATCGATCGGTAAGCCAACTTGAACTACCAACTACGCTTGATCTTCTTTCGTAGTTTGTAGATTTTTCGGTGCTTATTTATTGCTTAAGGCTTTTTATGCATTCAACTGACTTACTTAGTTAACTATTTCCTGCAAGTGAAAAGCAACAAGTTGGAGGCAGAATAATAATAATGGTAAAGCTTTATTTAAGACAGTATGCGAATATACGGTACAAAAATTTTCAGCGTATTCAGTTCCAAAGTACTTTTTTCTTCACACAGGATTCACATATAAAGTAATAATCTGAAGTCTATCTTCATTTCGTTGAAGAATTGTACAGCGTTTACTTGGGAGCAAGTTAAATCATGCAAGTTTATGTATAGGTCATTTGATATAACTGGATGATTAAAACAATAATAAATCCATATGAAATTAAGCATTTTGGAGGGAAGTAATTTCGGTAGCCCAGTGATTTAAGCAGGCCGCCCTAGTTCATCAAAGAAGGGACAAAGACAGGTGAACATAAATAAAACAGAGGTGATGATGGAGATCCGTGGCCAACAACAACAACAGATAACAATCAGCATAATTAGGAGAATTCTGAAATAAGCGACCTCTTTTTTACCTACTCACTTGGGAAGCATCGTATCAACTACAGGCGGAACTGACTAGGATATCGAAGTGTGAGGATCGGGAAAGCAAGACAAGCTTTCATTTCTCTCAAGTCTGTGTCTGGGGATCAACAGCACTGCTCAGTATGAAAAATAAGATCCAGATTTTCAACTCCAACGTGAGGTCAGTGCCACTATACGGATCAGAGACTTGGCGCCGCGTCACGAAGGGCACTTCGAGGAAACTACAGACCTTCATCAACAGCTGTCTTTTCTTGATACTATTCAAGATCAGATTCCCGATCAGAAAACATCAGTAACAGGGATCTCTGGCAATGAGCGAACCAACCCATCAGTAACCGACTGTGCAACAAGTATGCAGGAAGAAATGGAGATGGATTGGGCATACTCTGAGAAAACAAACCATCACAGTGGTTAGGACTCCCGCCGACCATGCACATGGTCCAGGGTTCGAGCCCTCACCGATGCACACCTGATATCTATGGTCGGCCTGCGAATTCTGGGCTACCGATATCCACGCTGAAAATTCCATACATGTACCAAAAATACGTGTGGAATCAAGCTGTAATCAAAAATTAAAAAAAATAAAATAAAATCACGTATTATCACACGCCAGACTATAGCTCTAGTGGAACCCAAATGGGAAGCGGTGAATTAGTTGGTCGACAGTGCGAGGGTGACAAGGAGGTGGAGATGATGTGAAGAGGAGATGAAAGCATGTAGGCAGATCTGGAGCCATGTGTGAAACTACTGGCGGAGAACCGAACACGCAGTGGAAACGTGTGGCTGTAGCCCTATGTTCCTCTAGGAATTAAAGGAAATAATAAATCGCATTTATTTTTTGTTCACTTTATGTTCTTCTTCAGATAATTTTAACATGGTGACAGCTGTTCAGCCAATGTTTGGTCTGTTAAAAAGACTCCATTTACATCCAATGGAAAGTGCTTTAAACGAGTTAACTCCACAAACTTCACTGATAGAGTCAATAAAATTTGTAAGTTTTTCGGTGTTTTTTTATTATTATTTCTAACTCATTTCTTCCAAGAGAGCACATCCATTCTGGTTTCGTAAAACAAAATCAGAAGAAATACATCGGGATCATAATTATGCAGGACAAAAAAGACAATCAGCTTATCTATCTAACACACACTTAACAGCTACTAAACGATGTAAGTTCAATTCATTACATTTTTTTTATCTCTTCTTTGTGTTCTTCTTACCAGTATCATAGTTACTAAGTCGTTTCCTAGTATTTTTAAGGGAGAAAATAGTTTTTGAACAGGAAAGCAACTGTGTTGAATTCTCACGGTTAGGTCTGGAAATTGTCACACTGTTAATCTGAACCACATAGTGAGAGGTGTAGAGTGTGTTGCTGAGGTCCTCGGAACGGTCCTTTACGTTTCCAAGCCTCTAGCTTGAAGTTTCTGTAGCAGTGGTGATTATTTTTACTGGATGGGGTTGCTAGCCTGCCTCATACCCAACCTTCGCTCTTTACCAGTCTTACTACTGGCTTAGCCGAGGTACAGGAGTGCGTCTGTGGTCAGGGATAGAACCCCGAACCACCTGCGTGGTCGGTGAGCCCTCTACCGCCGTGCCACCGATGCACACGAAAACCCTTTAGTAAGATATGAGAATAGAAGTTGGGCAATGTAGTAGAGCATAGTTTCATCATAGATTAGATTTATTTGATAAAGTCTCACAGTGTTATACAATATTTATTGATGGCGTTTCGAGCACAAATTATTGCCGCTTATAATCATATCAAGGCAGTACTCACACAGCTTCCCCACTTCGTTTATATGATTCCATGATTTCTCATCTCTTGATTTGATTGACAGTAATATTTTGCATATCTCTGGTCTTTGTGATGAGTTGTTCCTATTGTATGTGTTGAGTGTAGATCCTATAAACAAAGATTCGATAGTCAACCTCTCTCTCTCCGTCTATCTGTATAACTTTTTAGAGTTGTAACTCTGCCTTACTCTGTTGGGTGGCGGCTTGCTAAGGCAAGCACCACACAATTACTCATTTTTGCGGGATCAGCCATTCTACACCTAGCTAAATTCTTACGCTCCGATAATCTGACCACTTTCCCGATCTACTAGTTTGACATGTGTAGTTGGCCTCACGGTCATTGCAAGGATTTTGTAGATTATATTGCTTTATCTGATTGGGTCAACCTACAGTGTCCTTTAACTCACAGAGCTTGTCCCTACCTGAGTGAGTTAATGAGTGTGAATGCCCCACAATTCCTACTTTGTTAAGAATCTTACTTAGGGTTCCAGATGTCCTCTCCTTATGTGGTAAAACTAGATGCTTTAAATTCCTATTCATGTTATCACAACTAGTTTCATCATTGTTTTTCTTCTGCTTGTGATCTTTTTAGTGGATTTTATAGGATAGTTGTGTGGGCACCAACGCTACCTCTATCTGTTTCATTTCGTCATATGGGTTTTTTGATGTACTACTTAGTGTTGTTGCTCAGTTTGTTAGATATTCAACTAACCCTGCCTTGGCTACAGGATTTCATCATGAGCTGACATTGGTTTGAGGACTATTGGAAAACCTGGGAGTACTGGACAGCTGTTTCCTCCTAGTTTGGGACTCTTCAGCAGTACGCACCCACCGGGGTTTGAACCCAGGACCTTCCGGTTACTAGGGTAGCGAGCTCGTATACCATTAAGCCACTGGGACCCGACCCAATGACCCATGAATTCTCCTGCCTTCACAGATATTGGATGAGATGAATTAAAGTCCAAATATCCAATATTAGAATGCATTGACTTTTTATAAACTCTGGTGCAGAGTTTGCCTTCTTCTGTTCATCCTATTTTACAACGTGACATAGCTAGTTCTCCCTGTTTATTTTTGGTTCAAATAAGATTTGTTTCCCCTTTACTGTTTAGTTTATTTGTGTGAAGAAGCTAGAGATAGGTTCTGTTTTTAATGCTGTGAAGGTGTCATCCACCTACCCTTAGTGGGATGCCTTAAAAGGTGCAGATATATGCATGCTTAGTTTTTAAGAGGTAATAAAAACTTCCGCTGAGCTTCGTTTGAGTTACTCCCTCCATCGTAGTGTGGCAGAGTGAAACGACACACTTCTGTGCAAAGTTCCGCGTTAATCTGTCAACCTTCAGGTAGCATCACTTCATTAAATGTTTTAGAAATGTGTATGTGTCCTCCAACCTCTACCTATCAGTTGCCAATTACTTGTTGTATTTCAGATATATACACATATGACACGGAAATATCACCCGTTAATCTTATTTACCCTTCATTTGAAATGATAAATATGATTGTCGTCTTTTGTTTTTTTTTCAGCTCGTCGTGCCGCTAGACTATCAGATAAAAACTCTAATCTTATTGATATAAGCGCCAAGAATGATTGTTGTTACCATAATCCAAGTGTTTTACGCTATTCCCCTGTCAATTCTGGTGTAAGTTCGTCGAACTTGCAGCTCTTTTCATCTCCTACATCTATTAGCCCTCCTAACTTTCCTACATCAACAGCAGCAGCAGCAGGTGTTATCGCACATACTCGACGTGGTTTGCTTTCACCTGGAACACCGGTACTTCCGCATTCTAAGTCTATATCCTCTTCACAGGTTTCATCGCAATCAACTGGTCAATATCGATCACAGATTACTCCTGTAGCTCGAGCTAATCTCGTCGAGAATCAAACCTGTCTGATCCTGGGTAGAAATGACCTAGTCCCTGACGAAAATCGTCTGGTGGATATTAAAGAAGAGTCAATCACTACGACACCATGTTATGCAAAAGACACTTCTTATCTAAGCAAGGTAACAAGTTATCTTAGTGGACAAAATCCTCAAGATGTAAGAACTCCAACTCGTCCACGTACTACTCGTAAAGCATCGCCTGTAAGTTTACTCTGTAGACGTTGTGATAACTGTGACAATGAAAAGTTGAGCGTGAAACTGAAGAATAAAGAAAAGACTGTCGTTGAATTCAAAGAACCACCAAAACGACGAAAATCTGTTGATCAGCTTAAAGAACCATCAATTCATGGATTACCTGATCCTGAGATTTCTACTAAACCGCGTAATCGAAGACCAACTCAATTTTTACAATTAAATGTTTCCACGATTGAAACTTCATGCGATGAACAAAAATCGACATATTTAACTTCTCAATCATATTATTATACACCAGATTTTACGGTTCGTCGTTCTCGAGGATCAGAGAGTGGACAATTTCCTGAGAAGACAGAATTAAAAGAAACACAAAGAGTTCAAAAACCAGATGATTTTATTGAAGGTAAATATTTCTAAGTATTTGTTGTTTTTGTTTAACCAAACAATTTGACGTTAACTGTGTTCACACAATGAGAATTGATTCTCCCCATTTAAATTTAAATTGAAAAATTTTCAAACGACTGGAACGCTGGAAAGAACACTTTGAGGAGCAGTTTAATTTGCTTTTAGTCACACTCTCAACTTACCGAACATCCAATACCTCCTTGAATGGGATATAGACACAGGTCCACCGTCCCTAACTGAGGGTACTGAAGCTGTCACTAGTCTGAAATGAGGGAAAGCAGCAGGACCTGATGGAATGACCCCAGAGGTATTTAAGTACTGTGGAGACAGTTAACTGTCTGCATTAACTGAGGTACTAGGCAGAGTCTGGGAATCAGAGGAAGTCCCATCGGGTTGGTGTAAGTCACTGATTATCCCCATATACAAGAAGGGAGACAAGTCTTCCTGTGATAATCACAGAGGGATTAGCTTGACTAATATAGTGTCTAAAGTCCTAGGCTCAATAATCATGCGTAGACTAAGTGGTGCTCGGGAGGCACAAACACGAAAGAGCTAGGCAGGCTTTAGGCCAGGAAGAGGGTGTATTGATGACATCTTCACCCTCCGACAGATTGTAGAACATAGGCATTCCTACCGGCGTCCAACAGTCATTATATTTCTTGACCTAAAGGCAGCATTCGACTCTGTCGACCGAGAAGTTCTCTGGAGATGCTTGGCTGTGAAGGGAAGGGAGGCCGAGAAAATATATTACACTGATTAAGGCACTGTACTCGTACTCATACAGCCAGGTGAGGGCTTACGGCGAACTGTCATCTGAAGTGGTGACGACTAGTGGTGTCCATCAAGGACGCCCCTTACACCCATTTCTATTCAACTTCATCAAAGGTGTACTAATGGACTTAGCCCTAACTCAATTCAGCGACTCAGGGATTGACTTACTACCATCAGGGAATAATCTCGTTGACTTAGAATATGCAGACGATATAGTCCTTCTAGGCGAGGACGCTGACAAAATGCAGAGTCTTCTAAACACCTTGAGCTGCAATCTACGAATGTTTGGCATGCGATTCGCTCAAGCCCAATGCAAGATGATGTTACAGGATTGGACTACACTGACTCCTAGATTAGAAATAGGAAGTGAAGTGGTAGAGCACGTTGACCGCTTCACTTACTTGGGAAGTACCATCATCCAGTGCCAACAGGTTGGTCTCTGACGAAATCTCAGCACGGATACAGAGGGCTAGTTTCGCATATGCCAGTTTATGCCGTCTCTGGCGTGGACGAGATATCCGACTATCGACCAAAGGGCGCGTGTACTGCTCGTCAGTCCACTCCGTTATAGCTGTGAGCGAGACATGGTCATTGAGAGTGGAAGACATGAAAAGATCAGCTGTCTTTGATCATAGGTGCCTGAGCTCTATCTCCCATGTGAAGTGGTATTATCGGGTGAGCAATATTGAGGTTAAGCTTCGGTTGAGTGCTAGGTAAGGAAGGGGAATCAATCGACGAGGATGTGAATCTACATTGACTGAGACGGTTAGGACATGTTACGGATGCCTAGATAACGCCTTCCTCGACCGGCGGGCAATGTTAGCTGACATAGGGTCAGGTTGGAAAAGAGCTAGCGGCGGTCAAAGCAAAACATCAGTCAATGAAATCCACAACAATTAGTTTAAGCCACGTAGGGAGGTGTAGAATGGCTTCCTGGTTGAGGTCCTCAAGACGTTAAAAACTAATGACCACTGGAGACAGTTGTTGATATGGCTGAAAATCGTTCTCAGTGATGGCTGGCTCTCAAAATCGTTCTCAGTGGCGCAGATGCATCCACTCCTTGTAACTTACGATCTCCAATGAAACTGTTTTGTTCTTCGTTATTACTCCTCCTTTGTCTCACACCTCTGCTCACTATCTCTATTATGCTTTTCTTGCTTCGCGTGCTACACGGAGTGTGGCGACTTGAAGTGCCGCACATTTGTGCAAAGTTCTATGTCGAAAACAGACAGACAGATGGCTGGCTCAGATACATCCACTCCTTGTGAGGTATAATTTCCAATCAAACTATATTGTTTTACGTTATTACTATTCCTTTGTCTCACACATCTGTTTACTGTCTCTAATATGCCTTCCTCCTACTTCCTTCTCTTTCTTTGTGCGGTACATGGAGGGAGTGTGGCGACTTGAAGTGCTGCACATCGGTGCAAAGTTCTCTGTCTAAAACAGACAGACAGAACTTTTTAAACTTTTGAACTAACAAGTAATATTTTCTGCTTCCTCTGAGTTCATGACTTTTTTTCTTAACCCCACAGATGTTTGCGTTCTATCTCACATATTGTTAAGTGGTATAATATGTTAATTAGTATTGAGGTTAGATGTAGAGTGCTACATGGAGGGAGTGTGGCAACTTGAACTGCCGCACATCGGCGCAAAGTTCTGTTTCGAAAACAGACAGACAGACAAACAGATAGAGTGCTAGATAAAAAAGATGGTAAATTAAATCGATTGAGAGATGGCTAAAACATGTGTGTTGCACCTGACAAACCATCTCCTTCCTCGACAGGCAATGTTAACCACACATAGAATTAGGTTGGAAAAGAGCTAAGAGTATGTTGGTGGTGTGATACAGACATTGGATTCCAACAGAGTATTATTCTCACAATGAGAACCATTGTATTTCGTTGGTGTGTCGACATCTGAATCCTATTTCCACAGTTCAATACTGCATTATTAGCAACACAGAATACCGTATATGTGTGTATTTGAACATTCTATTTCAACTGATTAAAAATGCCCATTACAATTTTCAAAAGAATGGATACTGAACAAAGAGTACTCTTTTCGATAAATTCATCATCAGGCTCTACATTTATACATACATTATAGTGAATGAATGAAATTAGTGTTATGAACAACATTAATGCTGTTTAAATAACATCAAATCAGTAATATTGATAGATTACAGCTGAATCGCATCAACGTAAAATAAGCTGAATGTCAGAAAAATTAGAAAAGATAATAGTACAAATTCATTAGTTTATAGTTTCTACTGAAGGCCAGGGCAGTAGTAGGGGCTGGACTTGCTTCTTCTGGACACAGAGCGCTGGTTGCTTGAGGCGAATCGCAATAGCCTCTGCTGTTTGGAGCCTGCAGTGTTTCGATGTTTTTGGCAATTTATTTGGCATCCGGTATAATATAGAGAAGGATTCTATGCTGGCTTTGTGGCCGGTTTGCACCAGATGTTCCAATATCGAGCTGTTAATAGTTTTCACTACACCCTTACTTAGCCATGCTGGCAGATGTTCTCGAATGAGCACCAAAAATCAAGTTCCTAGAGCAACGGCCAATATAACTGGCTCCACAAGCGCAGTTGAATCGATAGATACAATTTGAAGTGGCCGGCTAGTCTAGGTACTTCATTTTTCAGTCGAGGAATCACCATCGGTCGTGTAGAGAATAAGACGTGTAGTTCGCCGCCAGCATTAAAAGTTCTTTGAACTGATTTTCTTAATTTCTTCGCAACTATCTCGCTTGGTATATCGCCCATGAATTGTAGTCGTATATAAAGAGGCCTCATTTTTACAGACTGAGTAGTCCGTTTCAGCTTTCTTTGTCATGTGTTTCTTGATAAATTTTTCGGGATAGCTATTTTCGATCAAAGTATCATATACAATGCTTAATTCATCTTCAATTACGTCTTCTGAGCATATAGCTCTAACTCTATGGCTGAGGGTCTTCACTAAATTTCTTTTATACCTGATAGGAACGAAGCTATGAAAATGTGTGTATATTGCTCTGTCCAAGTGCTTTTTCGATGCAAATTTCTTTTTATACTACCATCTGGTTTTCTTGTAAGTAGGACATCCAGGAAGGCAATTCTGTCTTGGGATTCCTCTTCGCATGTGAATTTCATAGCCGAATGTACTTCATTGAATTCAGTGATTATTGTACTCTTATCAGAACCATTATCACAAAGGATGAAGGTGTAATCCATATACCGGCAATAAAATGAGAGCTTACTGATAAGGTTGTATAAAGGTCTATTTTGTAGCTTACTTAGAAAGAAATCAGCCAAAATGGGACCCAATGGGGAGCCCATCGTCACCCTATCCACTTGCCTGTAAAATGTGTCATCAAATTTGAAAGTTACATTCATGGTACATCTTAATGTCAATTCGTTTAGGATCTCAGTATGTATGTCAATGTTTATCGACAGCTTGCCCACTTGTTCACCTATGTAATTAAGTGTTTTTATTAGAGGCACATTTGTGAATAACGATGTTATGTCCAGAGATATCATGGTTTTGTCTTTGATATATTATTATCTTTTATTTTGTCTACGAATTCAAATACATCTTTGACGCTATATTTCACTATCATCTCATGCAAAGGTTTGAGAATATTTACTAGCCATCTAGCTAGAGCATGTGTAGTAATTTATTGTACTTGGAATATTAGTATTTCGAGATGACGGAATTACACGAACCCATACAAAACTCAGAGAGGGCAGCAATCAGGAATTTGTATTTAGCGGAATTATTATGCAATTCATATAAGAAACATATCAACAGTCAACAGTAAGTATTTTAAACAATACAGAGATAGAAATTGTCAATCACCACATCCGCCACACCTCGAATATCTCCTCGCGTACTTATAACGATGTCTCGGTTTGCTTGAAAGTAGCTTCGACCTAACTGATTCTGTGATATTATTTTCATCAGTATTATCTGGACCTATTTCTGAATCATCTACAAAATCAGGATTATTAGCGGAATCAATAATATTATAATTGGAACGACCTACTTCATTTATTGTCACTTTGTCCAGGTGTCCGTTATGAACTGAGTGATCTTTGATGTCTAATATCTTCACCACTCGATTTCCCATTTTTTGTAGTATAATTCCAACAGAAGGTCTATAGTTATTATCTTTGTAATAATGTACATTAGAAGTCTTGGACATCAGATGCTTTTTGAGAATTCGAGATTTGAAAAGTTTTGCAGGACTTTCACGGGTACTTGTATGCTCTGCATTCGACAGACGCAGTCTATGCATATGCAGTAATTCCTCAATTTTAATCAGTTGCTCTCTCATCTCATTCAGGTCTTTTCGTGTTTTCGACAGTTCACATTGTAACTCAGCTACCTCATTTTTGAAAACAGTTGACACTTGAGTTGCCGAACTTGTAGTGGAGGTTTTCATCGGATTAGCTTGAGTATTTTGAAAGGTTGAAAGACACATTGACTCCATTTTACTAGACAGCTTGGGAGAATTATAAGAATGTTGAGCAACATAAGTATTCGAACTTCTGCAAACCGTCTTGATGTGTCCAACTTTACCACATTTATAACACTTAGCACCCCGAAAACGGCAAGTGCTTCGTAGATGTAACTTTCCACAGGATAAACACGGTTTAATGTTTTTGATCTCTCGCTGCATTCTATTACCTGTGGACGGCAGTTTGGATTGCTTTCCATGACCACTTGTATTTTCGACTTTAGAAAGCATAACATCAGACACTGACGTAGTGGGAGCAGAGTATTCATTATTGACATCTTCATATGTAATACATAAATCTTTAGCAGTTTGAAACGTACAAGAAGGAATCTGAATTAACTCTTTCTCTAACTTAGGAATATTGATTCCAGCAATTAGACGATCACGTAGTTGAGTATGCAGCTGATCTCCAAAATTACACTTTGAGGCTTGAATTTGAAGTTGAAGAATGAAGTCTCTAATCTTCTGGTTGGGAGAACGTACCAGTTTGTTGAAGTGAGCCCTCTCTCTGGTCTCAAATGTAGTCACATGAAAGTGATTTGTCAGAAGTTCACGGATCTTGTCATATGACAGAGAAATGGGTTTATCTGGAAACGCCAGATTCTTCACCAGGCTATATGCATCAAGCCCAATAGTAGTGATGAAATGTGCTGGTATTTTGTCATCCCGAACATTCTTGGAAATGCACCACGCATCGAAGCATTCCAAATAATCAGCAATCTCCCGCGGAGACCCATTAATGGGGAATTTTCCCAGGTTACTTAGCTCCATCGCGACGCCAATTTGTAGTAATTTATTGTACTTGTAATATTAGTATTTCGAGATGACGGAATTACACGAATCCAAACAAAACTCAGAGAGGGCAGCAATCAGGAATTTGTATTTAGCGGAATTATTATGCAATTCATATAAGAAACATATCAACAGTCAACAGTAAGTATTTTAAACAATACAGAGATAGAAATTGTCAATCACCACAGCATGGTAAAGCGAATTTTGCATATCAAGTATCATTCATATCATTTTAGTTCATATCGTTTAGTGCGCAAACCAGAATCACACTCAGTGACTGGTTGAAGAATATAAAACTTGTATAGACATAAATAGTTGTCTGATCACTTGAAGAAAATATACCTTGGCTTCCGTGTCCTGTTTTTTACTGTTACAAGTGTAGTCAAACTTAAAACCCTGGCTGGCATCAATACATAAAGTCTCTCTGGCTGATGGTTTGTCGGATTTGTCCAACCGATGACTGCGATTTCAGTAACCAATGAAATTGTAGGGAAACCTTTTAATAAAAACAAAGCACGTAAATCAGCTATGAGACTCTTTTCGTCGGCGAAATCATTTTCCACCTTAGCTGTACAGTCGCAAATATATATGTACGGATTATTTTGTATGTATGTGTATATTAGGTTTGTCAAACAAAACTACAATTGGTTATGATTATTTTAACTAAACAGGTGAAACAAGTCAAGCAAAATTAGGTGTTAATGAAATTAGGGTAGTAACAAAGGTGATGAGTTGTCAAAAATAGTTGTTAAAAGAAGTTATGTAATAATATGAATAGTTTGATGTGAGTGAGTTTTACTCAGGATGCACATAGAAACCAACTAGATAATACGAAATTACGTAAGAGTTCTGAATGAATACAAGAATTATAAGCAATTAAAGAACAGGCAAAGAAACAAAATGAAGTCATCAAAATAAAAAAAAGTTGTTACCATGAAAGTAGAAGTGGTTGAGTAATCTTCTTTTGTATACGTAGCTCCGGTTCTTCTATGTGAATGGCCAGAGCTTCAGTGATACAAAAAAGACGAAACCGTATCGCCTTTCTTGGTAGGTTATTCTTGACTCTGCAGATTACTTTGAAGCAGGAGGCGTTTGTTGAGATGGTATCGATCAGTGTTAACCAGTTGTTCAATTATCCCACTCCTTACAGCGCCACCACTATTGCCTTTTCGCAACCATGCTGGATTGTACAGCTAAGGTGGAAAATGAATTCGTCAATGAAAAGAGTCTCTTCTCTGATATCTACGTGTTTTGTTTTGATTAATGCCTGCTGAATCGGGGATTATCCATGAATTGAAACCTTGTAATAAATATTTTTTGTGTGAAGTAAGTAGCAAGCAAGTAATGCTTTCTACTCTAGAGTTCATGATTTCTTTTAGACACACGCAGGCGATTCTTTTTTCAAATCCCACACTGAGTCTTCGGTTTCAACTCCCCCCCCCAATTTACCTCTCGAGATAGATTTTAACAGTTAAGTTATATCATACTATAATAGGCTTGACTCTGTGTCAAATACGTATCTATGATTGTTATCAATAATTAATCAATAAAGTATATGTTTACACAGAATGCATAATATACTCATCAGTATAATTTATTGCAAAATTTTTACTCCCCGTAGAGAATCTCTTCATCAAGTAGTAAATTATTCCATCGACAGACAGTGCACGTTGTTGTGCGTGTGTGTACATACTCTGAAACACAATACTCAATTCTGTCCCTCTCTCTCTCCAACATATTTTCCCCTCCTTCAATGTCTTCCTGAAATAATATACAAAGTGCGGTAAGTAGGTTGAAAATTAGCCAATATTAAAAATTCACATGTGTTGCTTGCTCTCCGTCCAGTGACATTATTGGAAGAAGAATTAAAGCAACACAAAAAAACAGCAAAGAAGTAAAAAAAGCACTTAGGCGCTGAATAAAAATTTCAATGATTCCAGGTCACCAATACGACCGTTTCATTTCATTACTTCATTTATTACTTCATTTTTTTAAAAATACAGCACCTGTGGCACAGTGGTTAGGACTCTCGCCGACCATGCACATGGTCCGAGGTTCGATCCCCTGCCAACACACACCTGATATCAATGGTTGGCCCGCAAAATTTGGGCTACAGATATCCATGCTGAAAATTCCATACTTGTACCAAAATACGGTGTGGAATCAAGCTGTAATAAAAAAAATAAATATTTGTGCAGAATAAGATGAGACCAGCATCGTTTATTTATTACGTTGGTTTCTCTTCAGCTGCGTACAACCTGAAAGTTAAATTATGTGTATATATATATGTGTACATAGAAATCTTTTTAACTTAATTGCTGCAAAGGTAGGTGTGTCGGTGGCACAGGGGTTATGACTTGCCGACCATGCACATGGTCCGGTAGTTCGATCCCCAGTCGACGCACACCTGATATCAACGGTTGGCTTGCGGCGAAATTCGGGCTACCGATGTCACATGCTGAAAATTCCATACTTTTACCAAAAATACGGTATGGAATCAAGCATTGATGAAAAAAATATTTTTGTTTAATTGTTGTTGCTCCCATGGATTCCTGTCTGTCTGTCTGGATTCAACATAGAACTTGGCACCGAAGTGCAGCAGTTCGAGTTGCCACGTTCCAAATAGCCCACAGAGGTAGACAAGAAGATGAGTGAAGAGAATTAATAGAGTTTGACAAGTATAAGAGTGAAACAGAATGGGGAATGGTAGAAAGGAATATGAAAGATTACAGAGACTGAATACATCTGCGCCATTGACAACGATTTTGAGCCATGTCACCTATTGTCTCCAGCCATTGATTCCTAGAGTCCCGAGGGCCCCAACCCGGGAGTCTGCATGGATTCCTAGTGGAACACAGGGCTTCAACTGCACGTCTCCACTTGCCACTTCTGTCTTCTGCTGTACTTTTCACCTATATCCATCTTAGTCCGTACTCTTTCAACTCCTGTTCACACGATCTCCTCCATGTCACACTTGCACCAACGATCCACTCGCCGCTTCCCTTTCGAGTTCCACTTGAGGGCTTGACGCGTGATGTCACCCATCGGCCTCCTCAGCGAGTGTCCGATCCATCTCCATCCACTTTCTCCTGCATATTTGTTGGTTGGCGATTGGTTCTTCTTTTGTTTGTTCCCTCCCATAGTTTCTTGTTGGTGATTCTTTCCGACCCTGCCATCTGATCTTCAGTATAGATCGAGCGAAGACAGTTGTTGGTTGATAAAGGTCAGCAACAGACTGTTGGAAATATTCTTTGTGACCCGCCCGCCAAGTTTCTGATCCGTATAGAAGAACTGACCGACTTGACGTTGTTTGTATTGAAAATCCGACCGAATTTTATTGTTGATGCTGGCTGAGTGACGAAGATTTCCAGATTGGTTTCAGTTGGTTGATGAATGTGTTTC